CACACACACAAATATATACATATATACATACATACACACACACACACACACACACATATATATATATATATATATATATATATATATATATATATATATATATATATATATATATATGAATACATACACACACACACACACACGTATATATGAATACACAGACAGACATATATATATATATATATATATATATATATATATATACACTAGTAATAATAATTATACTCGTCCGAAAAAACCTTCAGTGTTTTGATTTGCAAATAATCAAACCAATACCAAAGGGGAAAAAAGATATTAAAAAAGAAAGAACAAATAACAGGTACGTTAGCCGAAAATAATCGTCTAGCATGCAAGTCCAAGGCCCAAAGAAAAAACCCCGATACGAGTAGGCAAAGCAACCAAACAAAGTGCTCAATACAGTAAGTAGAGCAGACCTAGTTAAACCTAGAGAGCCAGACAAATATACCAAGGTTTCACCTAAGCGGATCGTCAGTGAAATACATATATAATATTATATTATATTATATGCGCGGTACTTATTGGAAACTGATAGATCTAACGTACTTAGTATACATACAACTAAGTATATATATATATATATTAATCGTTTCATCCCATGCAAGGCTATAAAGCCACTGAGACACAGGGGCTTACTGAGTGTCAAAGAATATATGAAAAGCAAAAACATTATAAAGAAGTGAGATCAATAAAAGAACAAGAATTAAGAGGACTGACATTGCATTTAAATTTTTTAAGATCAAATAACAGAAGCCGGAAGTGATTTACACAAGAAGCCGGAAGTGATTTACACACGTGAGAAGCGCGAGAAAAGAAACAGTTAGCATAGAACTTACGGTTGCATCTGGACATTTGCAATCTTGCTCTTAAATTCATAGAGTCTTGATACCATTACGAGGGTTGGGGGAGGGGAGTTCATACACAATTACCATGAATGTATTTTTAGAAAAGGCAAAGGAAAAATACAATGCGGCGATGGGAAAGAGACTGAAGTCAAGATGCCAGGTCAGGGCCAATGATATTGCAGATCCTTCTTGGGAGTTTATCAAGAATCTCTTGATATATAAAAGGGACGCCAAACCAGATATGGCAGCAACATACAAAACATGGGCGAATGGTCGATTCATAAATATATAAGATAGATTCGGGTGAAAACATTGTCTAGCATAGCATGACACAGTGAGCGAACTCTCCTAGCATATATATATATATATATATATATATATATATATATATATATATATATATATATATACTGGATGTAACAGCAAAATTGTCCAAATAGTGTCAGAGCACTGGACAATAGTCAATCCCACAAAATGTACAAAACCTCCAAGCTATTTGAGTTTCTTTTTTCCAGGTTCTCAGATGAGACGTTTAGCCATCTTGACACCATCTGTCGTAAAGATCACTGAAAACCCCTTTGAATTATACAGCTAGAAAGAGAACAGGTTAAAATCATTTTGTGTCAATCCCACTATGTCTTTCTAAATGAGCAATGGTGAGAGGAAAAACATCATTCGGACCATCAGTAAGTACAAACATTCATGTTCTGGTTTCCATCTTCACAGTCCATTCAAGAACCATCAAGAGCACGGCGAATAAGTTTTAAAAAAAGATGAAACAGTAGAGAGGAAAACTTGATCAAGAGGTCCCAATAGGAAGAGGGATCATCATTTCAACTTTGAGCTAAATAAATTCTTATTGCTCAAAGTAAACTCCAATAGTTTTATAAAAACCTCGGAGAATTCCAATAAGATATCTTTAATCATTTCTAATATACAACGGTTCAAAGGTTAATCTAAGAATAAGATTATATTGCTGTTACCCTATTTGGATAATTTTTTGGCACACTCGGGATATATTGCTATGAAAGAATGCTGAAAAATTACCCTTCCATTTTACTTCCCAAAATCTAGCCGAATAACTAAAGATCAAAATATATTTTAGAAGTTTTGTAGTTCTTACTAAAATTGTCAATACTTGAAATATTCTGAAGATATATAGAAAAAAAATAGAATATATTCTGTATAATATTTATCTGTTTTTAAATTTTGGATCAAATCTAAAAGTACAATTTTATATAATTACGAATGCATCTGACACTATTTGTTGAAGACAAGGTCGTATCATCGCCTGAATCAAAATGTTTACGGCACATGTACAGGGAAAGAATGCCCAGGACTGGAATCAGAGCGTTTTTATGTATAGACACTGTGGACGTATGAATCAACTCCACATTGTGACTGGCAGTTACAAGCTTCGAATATTGAAGTTTTTCCACTCGATTACGAAGATAACCATCTCTGCACCATAATAATGCATCTGCTGCTGATGACCGCGCATGGATGCTGCTTTGACTTTTAAAACAAGAAAGACTTTTAAACGCCATATTACACGACTGTCACTGTGGGTAGAATGGACAGAGAGAGCTTGTTGAGTCTGATGGAGGGATTTTTTTTTTTGCTGATAAACTGTTTGTCGATATTTGGTGAGTGCCTTTTGCTAATAACATTTTTAGTGACATCCGGTGAGTTCATTTTGCTGATAAAATGTTTAGTGACACGTGCTAGGTTTCTTTTGCTGAAAAAGGTATTTAGTGAAATGCAGTGAGTTCCTTTTGCTGGTAACGTTTTTAATGACAGGGGGTGAGTGCCTTTTGCTGATAAGGTGTTTTGCGACATGTGGCGAGTTCATTTTGCTGATTAGACTTTTAACAATATATGGCCATTTCATTTTGCTGATAAATTGTTTAGTGATATGCGGTGAGTTACTTTTGCTGGTAAGGGGTTTAGTGTCATGTGGCGGGCTTCTTTTGCTGAAAAGGTGTTTAGTGAAATGCTGTGAGTTCCTTTTGCTGGTAACGTTTTTAATTACATGTGGTGAGTGCCTTTTGCTGATAAGGTGTTTAGCGGCATGTTGTGAGTTGCTTTTGCTGAAAAGATATTTAGTGTGATGTGGTGAGTTCCTTTTGCTGATAAGGTGTTTAACAACATGTGAAGTCGTGCAAAGGAATTTTCCTACATTATATTTTATGTTATAAAGAAGGTAGAATATTCAGGAAGGATTTTCTGTCTTCTTTACACACTCACGCACATAGACACACACACATACATACATACAGACATACATATATATATATATATATATATATATAGTGTGTGTGTGTGTGTATTTAGGTAGCATTTTTTCACTGATGCATGTTTCATTAAATAACATAGACAAGTTTTGTCTATTTTAAGTAAGTTCCTTTCATATTGTCTGATAAGCTTAATAACATTATCATTGAAGGACGAAAGGAAATCACCATATTGATACATGTTTTTTTTAATCCTATCTAAGCTTTCGGCTTACATAAGCCATTATCAAAGATGACAATTACATTTCAATATATTAAAAAATACGCGGACAAAACAATAATGATAGTCTGTTTTTGTCGCATGAAAGATTTCCAACCAACGACAAACTCGTGTATACGAGACGCGGAAGCGAAAATCTCACCGCAGCTCATGATGTCACACATGACCACGCGAGAGTGAAAACGAAAAGTATTAAGTATGGGAAGCTATTGGTATAAACCAATAGCTTCTATTATCAATTATAGGCATTTAAGAATATTTGTGGAGATTTCATAGTTTATTTTGTTCAGGTTAGGTTTCAACTGTTTTATGTATATAGCTTCAAGAATTTGTAGTTTTTGTTTATTGTTTTCATGTTTAAGTATAATTGTGTTTTCAACAAGGATTTTACGGAATTGCGTATGCAGCTAGGCATGTTGTTTTAAATACCTAAAATGTAAGCCGAAAGCTTAGACAGGATTAAAATCATATATCAATATGGTGATTTTCTTTCGTCTTTCAATGATAATGTTATTAAGCTTATCAGACAATGGACCTGGGAACACCAGCAATTAAGAGGTGGTTCCACGTTCCTCAAAACCTCCTGATCAGAGGCCTTTCTGCTGGACGTAGTTTATCGTCTTACCCAGGACACGGATGTAGTTTATCGTCATACCCAGGACGGTCTTTTCCACGAATATATATAATATATATAGAAAAAATATATATATAGACATATATGTATAAGGAACACTTGAGGGTCCGTTGACAACTGTACTAGCACGAAGTCACAAGTCATCGTGACCGAGGGCTAGATTGTGCTAGCCTTGTTCAGATTGTTGATCTAATGTCTCCTCAGCATAGTTGCAGTATAGACCACAGATGGACTCTGTAGGTGTTGAACAAACACAAATGTGCCTGAGCGAACATCTGAATTAGGGATTGGCTAGCCACCCTCGTCGACGGGTATCCTTGAATACGAGTGGCCAGCTATTATATATATACATATATATGTGTGTGTGTGTGTGTGTACTAACCATCAATAATCTTTCTTGTCAATGCACTTAATTTAATAGCCAATTCTAAAATATACGGAATAGATTACAAAGCAAAAAGTATCCATCAAATTTCTACTAAAGACTCCGTAACAGGTTCTCCTATTGATTTTCTATCGTATGTATAATAGCTTCTTCAGCTATATATATATGTATGTATATATATATGTGTATGTGTGTGTGTGTGTGTGTGTGTGTGTGTGTGTGTGTGTGTGTGTGTGTGTGTGTGTGTGTGTGTGTGCGTACGCATATTTGTATGTCTGTGTCTGTATTTTTATGTATGTGTGTCTCTTTGTGTTTATGTGCGTATTTATGTGTGAACGTGTGGTCATTTGTGTGCGCATTAGTGTGTTTGTATATGTGTTTATGTTTGTGTGTCTTTTTGTTTGTGTATGTTTCATTTATTGCAGGTACACAGTAACTGTTCTACGAAGTTTTAATGCAGTGAACATATGTGCAACATTAATAGGTATATGTATGTATCTGTGTGTGTGTGTGCATGTGTTTGTGTGTGTGTATGTGCGTGAATATAAAAAGCGTTCTTGGCTTACTGCTGCTACTGTAAATGCAACTTGGTGAATTATACGTGCTAACAAAGAGATTTTACAAATTTATGGGTTATGAAAGTCACATAAGATAAAGGAAGATAGATGTGAACAGAATTAGATAGATAGATAGATAGATAGATAGATAGATAGATAGATAGATAGATAGATATGTGTAGAATTAGATAGATATGAACAAAATGAGAAAAGTAGATAGATAGATAGATAGATAGATAGATAGATAGATAGATAGATATGAACAGACTTATATAGACAGATATATATGAACAGAATTAGATAGATAGATAGATAGATAGATAGATAGATAGATGCGAACAGGATTAGATAGTTGGATAGATATGAACAGAATTAGAAAGATAGATAGATAGATAGATAGATAGATAGATAGATAGATAGATAGATAGATAGATAATGAACAGACTGAGATAGACAGATATATATGAACAGAATTAGATAGATAGATAGATAGATAGATAGATAGATAGATAGATAGATAGATTGCCGCTAATATCATTAATTCGTGATGTTCCTCGATGGAATCCTGCTTCTCCTTAACTCAAAAACCTTCATTTAATAGAACACACGGACACACACCAGCACATGTCAACGCGCGTGTTGGTATGTACATATCGCTTATGGGGTCACAGTTATAGAACATCCATGTCAATGGATATTTGCGAGATTTCCACAACATATATAAATAAATATATTCTACTTGCCGTAGAGTAGTAAATAAATGCGACGAAAGTGAAGGTCAGAATTTTTTTTAAAAGCTCCCACCTAATTATGGCCACCTTCTTCTTGCTAAGCAATTCACAATCTGACAACATTTTGACATGTCTGTTGAATAAGATAGATAGATAGATAGATAGATAGATAGATAGATAGATAGTCTGTTCATATCTATCTATCTCAGTCGGATCATATCTACGTATCATTATCTATTCTATTTATTCTATTCATATTTATCAGTAAAAAATATGATATATATGAACAGATAGATAGATAGATAGATAGAAACAGGCATATAGAGATGAAGAGACTGAGATAGATAGATAGATAGATAGATAGATAGATAGATAGATAGATAGATAATGAACAGAATCGTTCATTGCTTGAAGCCTTGTTTTAAAATTCTCACTTTCTGTTTCGTCGCACATTATATAAGTAGGGAAGTCTGGGAATAAAATTCACTATGTTAATAACCGTCTATGTTTGTAGTCTATCTTTCTAATTATATTCATATCTATCTATCTATCTATCTATCTATCTATCTATCTATCTATCTATCTATCTCAGTTTGTTCATTATCTATCTCATCTACTTATCTATCTATCTATCTAATTTTTTTCATTATCTATCTATCTATCTATTTCAGTCTGTTCATTATCAATCTATCGATCAATCGATTTCAGTCTGTTCATTATCTATCTTTTATATATCTTAACTTATTCACCGTTTTCTTGATGGTTCTTGAATGGACTTTGAAGATGAAAGCCAGAGTATGAATGTTGGTACCATTACTGCAGACCTGAATGATCTTTTTCCTCTCACCATTGCTCAGTTAGGAATACAGTGGGGCTGACACAAAACAATTTAACCTGTTCTCTTTTTAGCTGAATAACCCAAAGGGTTTTTCAATGATTCTTACCATAAATGGTATCAAGATGGCTAAACATCTTATCTGAAAACCTGGAAAAAAATAAACTCAATTAATTTAGTCGTTCTCTAGATATCAAACATTTTGTGGGATGGAGAATTATCCCATCCTGTTACACGATTTGTACAATTTTGCTGTTACACTATATATATATATATATATATAATATTAAAACAACATGTAAATTTTTAAAATGGCAAGTATGAAGTATGTTCTCTATGTTTGCATAAAAAAAATTGGGAATTATCAGATTTTATGATAAAACGCTTTATTAAATCAAAGGAGTGGATTAATGGTTAATTAGAGACATAGTCTACCCTTTACTTTACAATTTATTTAAACTGGAATTTGATAATGTTTTTTTCTTATATTTTAGTTGAATTACGTCGTCCCATATATGCTTTTTTTTATTCATAAGATTAATTTGGATTTGATATAGTTCTGTATTAATCTGTATTAATCTTCTGTTAGTATTATTAACATCCTATATTGCTGCATTGGTAGTTATTATTTTTTACATCTTACATTGATTGATTGGTATTATTAACATCTTATATGGATGATCTTTATTTAACGGCTGCATATTAATTTACCAAATAATTCTATACATTTAAATGATTTACTAGTTTCTTAAAGAGGCCTCTTATTCATCAACTATGGAAATTTTATCAACATTGATTGGTTAATATAACTTTTATGTCAGTTTTATCATGCTAATCAATGTTTTCACATCGAGACGAGATTTTCCCCGAGTGCTTGGGCGAGAAGAGGAGAACGGGTGCTTATTATAAATATTTATTTCGAATATGGTGAACAGACATAGTTTTGCATAATAAAATCTTACACCGCTAAATAAGTTTCTAAATATTTCTAATTAAAGAAATATCCTCGTCGGGTTTATCACGCATCCAAGTATTTAATTTCTTCTTTGCTGGTCGTTTTCCTTATAAAGATGGTGTTAATCAATAAATTCGCCCCAAGGTGGAGGTTCAGGACTAGAAACGTCCACTTTCAATCAAAACTTGCTCCTGTCATCCATTCCCTATCATCGTTTGGCTTTACAAGTGTTGGTAGAAAAATCAGAGTAGAAGTAAGTGTCGATGGCATGAATTTGTTTAAGGTGAGCCTTAACTTGCCCGGAACTGACCCACATGCTTGATTCCCTGACCTTCCCCTGCGGCACATGCGGAATGAGACATGCAGACTCCAGTTATGAAACTGCAACGGACTGCTTCTGTTATAATTTCGGGTGACGCCTTCTGTAACATGTCCGTCATGCGTAGCCCTCTTCAAGCGCTGAGATCTGATGTAATCGTCATCCGCTTGTTCCGCCGTTGGGGGCTTTGGGATTGGTCACGCTTAGTCTGACTCCTCGTTCTCGACCTTACCGCCAAGGGTGGCTCTACCAGGTGTTTAGAACTCCCGACAAAATCGTTCTCAGAATCATTGGACTACGCAAGCCACTCCAACCCGACAAGGAAAGACCATTAGGGCGATATAATTAGATAAAAAAAGGCGGATAATCACATGGTATATTGATATGCTAAACATTTGACAAGAAACAGTAAATATCAACTTTAATGTGAATAAATGACTTGCGACAGGCAAAATTAAATATGAGATGGCGGAAATATATTGATAGGCGCAAAAAGAGTTACACATTCACGAAAATATATATAGATATTACTAATATCTATTGACGAGTGGATGGAGCGATAGCTGGAGGATCCGTCTACGAAACTCCCAAGTTGGGATGCTGAATATCGCATCAATCAGCTAAGTGACAAATTTTATATTTGTATTCATCTATATATATATATATATATATATATATATATATATATATATATATATAATTACTGTTTATAAAAAAATTATAACATAAGTATGTTATAAAATCACTACAAAAATAGCCATTTTGTTTCAACACACTCGGTGTCTTATCAAGTGATGATGTAGAAGATAAAATAAATATATATATATATATATATATATATATATACAGAGTCCGCCCAAAAATGTATACACACTTCAGGAAAGGAAACACTTGCATAGATATTGTAATGCTAAAGGTATACTGACATCATGAGATTAATACAAGTTACCTTTGGTGGACTCTACAATCACAAGTAATGCTCAAAATGGTGGCCATTAGCTTCCAGACATTTATTAGTACGGCGAACTAAGACCTGAGCAACGTTGACCAATGGACTTGCTGCACATGCATTTTCAATTTCTTGCCTAAGAGCAGCCAATATAGACGTTTTTTTATGCGATGCACAACATCCTTTGGGACTTGTTGATGCTACAGCCATGAGGTCAATGCCATCTGTCGAGAAAATATCGTATTACAATGAAGAGTGTTATCGCAATTTGATAAAACTACGAAAGACAAGTTTTTCCTTTTCCTAATTAGATAGATAGATAGATAGATAGATAGATAGATATGAACAGAATTAGATAGATAGATAGATAGATAGATAGATAGATAGATAGATAGATAGTGGTATATATTTTGGCGGCGGACTATATATAGCGTTCTATTAACTCTATACTTACCTTTTGAAATCGAGCACTTTAAGACAAAAACCTGCCTGCCTAAAATTCCTTCCCACCAGTAAACTACGGAAAAAGAACAAAATTTTTGTAACTAACACTCTTACAATTTAATACTATATATATATATATATATATATATATATATATATATATATATATATATATCAGTGGCGACTCCGGTTCTCGGACTTGTCGGGCTCAGCTCGAGCGAGTCACCATTCAAGGATACCTATTTCAAAAGCAACAAAAAATATTTCGTAGTGCGTCGTTTTCATTTTTGACATCTGCTGGATCCAAAATTAATTGTTTTAACCCCGTGCCTCAAAATATTGACCTAAATACATCTTGTCGATATTTTTCAAATAAAAAAGAAAGAAAGAAGAAACAATTAAGTAATTTTTAAAAAAATGAAATAAAATTAAAGTGGCTAATCGGGCTGCGTAGATCTGATACCTTTCAAACTAGAGACATAGTTAATAGGCAATGTATTTCTTGATTTAATTTTATAAATAATCTTTTTAAAAATCTCTAATGACTTGCATGCCCTGTTTTCAAAGAATACATTTTTATTTCAACATATTGTTTTCCAATTTCCATTATAAGGTTTTTAGTGGAATGTATCAATTGAAAAAAGGCAAATTAAATTTAGCCCGACTTAAAGTAGACGAAAAGCAAAGAAAGTAGCAGCCTTCTCGTCGACTGGAGGGTTGAGGTGAGGAGTGTAAATGGGGTAGTGTTGAGGAAATATGATATCAGTCAGTAGTATTGATCATAAACGTACAATAAATTAAACTCAAAATTCAAAGACAGAGAGATACATAAATGCACTAACGCATAGACATATATACAAAAACACATATGAGATAGATACACCCGTTTTACATTCCTGGAAAAATGTTTAAAATAAATGTTTATTTTTATAGAATTATTATAGTTAATATTAAAATAATAAAATGTGATTTTTCAATTTCATGCAAAGAGATTTTAAAAAATTATATATTTTCGTAAAAGTAAAGGAATCATTTTAGTATCTAAGTTATACCAATAGTATATTTTGGCAAAGATTGTAATGAGCTCGACAAACATTGATGACCTAGAGTAGCCACTGATATATATATATATATATATATATATATATATATATATATATATATGTATTTATATATATATATATATAATACCAACCGAGGAGGCATGGTGGAGTAATGGATAGCGGAATCGAAGTCGAATCCATTACATTCACTTGCGTGCTAATAACCTTGGGAAAGGTATGAATCCTCTTCCTCTCCCTCCAGCTATGGGTAAAAAGCAAGACAGACTGGGTTCTATAGCCTTGGATGGCAACTGGTCTAGGAGAAGGACAACTCTCTGTATTCGTCCCTTCAAAAAGTGTGGATGGTCCTGCACGAACCCTTCACCACTATAATCCAATCTCATGTGCCGGTGTCGAGCTGTCGGTTTCCTGGAAACTGATCTGCTTGACCCTCATACGTCGAATCTCGACGGGAGAGTCGATTATTATTATAATAACAAGCTTAGATGTGACAGAAGTTTCAAAATATAGAGCAATTAGTAGTGAGAATTGAACTTACCCTTAATTGATATAGAGATTTTCTAAGTGTAGCTCAGTTCTGTCACAGGGCCAAAGGCGTGGAGCGCTCAGTGAGTATTAAGCTCACTACTCAGTCGTAAGTAATCTAGTCAGACAACGTCGAAGTGCTCAAATATATATATATGCGCATTTGAGGTGTAACTGTATAATTGTCCATCCCACAAAATATTTAATATCTAAAAAAAAACACTAAACTAATTGAGTTTCTTTTTCCAGGTTTTCAAATAAGACTTTTAACCATCAGTCGTAAGAATTACTGAAAAATCATTTGATTTATTGAGTTAGAAAGACAAGTTAAAATTATTTTGTGTCAGCCTCACTGTCTGTTGAAGCTTAAATAAGCATGGAATAATACAACACAAAATGTACGTTAACAAAATGTATTGAAACAAAGAATAGGTACACAATATTTACAGTTAGTTTGGTATATTCTTGGGAAGACTGTTCCTGCATAATGGGTTGACTAAATCGCAGTCGGGCAGGGTCTCTCGATTCAATTTCTTAATCTCTACTATCTTCCCCGTCTTCCGGTACCAACCCATATTTATATGGTCGGTAGTCCGCTTATGTAAATTAGGTGAATCATACACAACACTGTCTTCCCAAATGAGCAATGATGAGAGGAAAAATCATTTAGGCCTTCAGTAATAGTACCAACATTCATACTGGCTCCCATCTTCAAAGTTCATTCAAGAACCATCAAGAGAACGGTGAATAAGTACAAAAAGATGGAACAATAGAGAGGCAAATTGGATGAAGAGGTCATAACAGGAAGAGGGAACATCATTTCAACTTAGAGCTAAAGGGATCAATTAGAAAAGGCCCAACTCAGTTCATAAGATGTTTGGCACGTGAGAGAAGCGTTTCAGCAATGACAGTCCAAAGATCAGTGAAAAAAAACTTGAAAATGAAATCGTACGTTAAACCTGTGATGCATCTTGTTACTCCAGGACAGAAAGTTAAAAGGTTAGTGAAGGCAAAGATCATCTTGAATAAGTTGGAAAATGATCCTGAAATAATATATATATATATATATATATATATATATATATATTTGAACATTATTTCGATCCTCCATGGGCCTCCGATCCTTAGCTATGATTAATTAATGATGAACATGTCATTCTGTAGATTATGGCTTCAGTCATGCACTTGCCGTTTAATGGGCATGTTACGTTTTTACGGTAGTTGCATTAGCTTTTAGTAAGATTATTATTTTATATTTAATTTTTTTGTTGAGATATATAATTATCTATGTTATTTGTACAGATATAGCTTACCTTAATGTTGTTTTTGTTGAAAATCTTTTTTAGTCCGGGAGAATGACCAAAGTGTTAGTGAATTAAATTCAGGAAAATTCTTCCTACATTGGTTTTGACATATTTGTTACGTTGGCGTTGTTACAGCTTATTTTTTTATCTTTGTTGTTACTGCGTTCTAGCGATTATTATAACCAGCTTTATTATCGTCGAATATTTCTTTGTTACTGGATTTGGTCGATAATATATATTGTACTGATTTGTGCAAATTGTCAAGTATATATTTATAAATAAGAAGTGGATGTCGCCAGTACTGCAAACAAGATTATATATATATATATATATATATATATATATATATATATATATATATATATATTGATAATATTAGTGGTTAACATACACACATATATAGATATATCTAAATATATATACACATACATACATACACATACAAAATATATGTAAAAAATTTCTAAGAGTATTGAATCCAGGTAGAACTCAATGTCCAGGACAGAGTGAGAATATAATAAACACTACTAATATTAGTGTTTAAACCTTTTTATTATATATATATATATATATATTATAAAAAGGCTTAAACAGTAATATTAGTTTAAGCCTTTTATTATATATATATATATATATATATATATATATATATATATATACCCGATGCGAGGGCTCGATACCGATAGTTGAACGATAATCATTTATTTATTATAATTTTATCATATAGACAAAACCATTTTACTCACTACAAAGATGCAACTTCGTTTCAGTGCATTTCAACTGCACTTCGACGGATGAAAAACGAAAATGGTTATCCATTATTTTTGATAATCATTTTTGGTTCTCACCCGTCGAAGTGCAGTTGAAATGCACTGAAACAAAGTTGCATCTCTGTAGTGAGTAAAAATGGATTTTGTCTATATGCTACAATTAAAACTCTCCCGTCGAATTCAACGTATGAGGGTCAAGCAGATCAGTTTCCAGGAAACCGACAGCCCGACAACAGCACATGAGATTTGATTATAGTGGTGACGGTCTCGTGCAGGACCCCCCACACATTTTGAAGTGCCGAATACAGAGACTTGGTGCACTACGTGCCGCAGGGTCCCCAAACGACCCTCCGCAGGTTTTGAATTCAGAGTTGTCCTTCTCCTAGACCAGTTGCCATCCAAGGCTGTAGAATCCAGAACATATATATATATATATATATATATATATATATATATATATATATGTTGTGGCCTTGTTAAGGTCGGAAATAAAGACCCAAAGAGAGGAATTGAGTTAAACAAATACATTAACAGAAACAGTAATACAAACATATACAAACGAGAGTGTTACAGCAAGAATGTTCGGTCCGACTGTCAGAGCTGACTGCTGGAACCTTCACCCTCCAGAAGGCTCCTGTTTATAACTGCGTATGCGGGGAAATTACCATAACATATATATATATATATATATATATATATATATATATATATATATATATATATATTCAAATAATAGGAAAGAACAGATTTATAATCCAGAGTTCTTTAGCCATTATTTTTATTTTAAAAATAACAGCGCTCGATACAAAGTAGAGCATAATATTATTATTATTATTTTTAAAAATATGTCTCCACCGCGAAAGAGAAATTAATATGTTTCGAAACCGAAACGTAAATCTTAAAATTGAACTTTAAAACTTAAACTTAAAATTCAGAGCACGGTTCAGTTCTCAAGCGATGCTAATTTTAAGTTTTAATGCTAGGATTTAAATCACGGTTTCGAAACATTAATTTCTATGTCACGATGGAGACATATTTAAAAAAAATTATCATATATATATATATATATATATATATAATCGCCAGTATTGCAAAACCAGATTATATATATATATATATATATAATCTTGTTAGGATACTGACGATTATATATATACACACACACACACACACACACACACATATATATATATATATATATATATATATATATATATATAACTTTAAAATTTAATGCTGATTTTAAGTTTAAATTTTAAGATTTAGGTATCGATTTCTCTGTTGCGATGGAAACATTTTTTTAAAAATAATTATGATATATATATATATATATATATTTATATATATATAATATATAATCGAAACATATATATATATATATATATATATATATATATATATATATATATATATATATATAAAAGAACTGAATATCGCCAGTATTACAAACAACATTATATATATATATGCATATAAATTCCTGTTTGCAATACTGACGACATCCAGTTCTTTTCCATATATATATATATATATATATATATATATATATAGCTGTTTGGTGTTTTAGAAAAGGGTTAGAGAAAGAATGTTTGTGACTGTAGAATCTCTGCTACCAAATACCAGCAGCATTTCCAATATATACTATTTTATTGTTTGCATTTACTTTGGGGAAAATAGTTGCTTGGTATGTAACATTTTCGGATTGGCATATACCTCCAACTGGGCAACTGTTTTTGTTTCTACAGTTACATGATCGTTTACTATCTGGTTGGTTATTGGTATAAAATTTGTTTCATGTGAATTAATGATATTATAGATGTTATTTGTGCAGGAGAGGCTAATTTTTAAGGTTTATCTATTAAAAATTTGACTTAGAGGGTTATTTTGATTAAATGTCATTCAATTTCGGAAAGTATTGATCCTTTTATTATTAGATAGTTGGCAGAAAGGAGAGTTAAAATATATAACGTCTCTTTTTCTATGTCTGGGTCCATATATTTTAGTATCTTTTAATGATTCCATGTATAGCAATTTTTGTTTAAAGCCACTTTTTTTCGAGGGCATCATTATATTTTTTATTAGAAGATAATCTATTATAATCTATTGATTCTAACTTTTACTGTGGTGGAAATTTGTCTAATTTTTGGAATGGGATGATTAGAGTTAACGTTAATATAGATTAGAGTATCTGTGTGATATGGTTTAAAAGTATTGTTTAGAAGGTTTAAAGTTATATTTTAAAAAAATAACTATTTTAAGGTTGGAAAAATTTCAGTTCTAAACCGAAGGAATTTGAAAACCCTGGTAATTTTCTTTTCTAAATTAGAAGAGAATAGAGTCTTTCTATCAGGGATGAAAATAAGTCCATCATCTCTATATAGACCCACCCGTTTAAGGTCAATAATCCTGCTAAGGGTGTTTCAAATGTAGATGTCGGCTTCTTACATTTCGATATTTCTGGTCACTTGGAATAACTGTCGACTACTACAAGGTAGCAAAAACCATGAAGTGGGCCAACAAAATCAATGTGTATCCGCAACCTCAGTGTACTTACTGTTTAATATACGATGTATCTTCAACCCAGGTTTTTGTTATTACTTAACCATTTACTTGGTCACAACAATTGTAAACAGTAATTTGGAATTTGCTAACCAGACGCTTTCTCTGTAGCTGAGTGGTATAGCACGTCAGATCAATTGGCTGTTCCGTATAGAACACAGATTGGGGAACGCATATTTTCTACGAAATTTCTCGAACTTTCAGGCCAGTAAATGTAATTAATACTGTTTATTTTTTTTAAAAAAAAAAAGAAAAGCATTTACTTAAATAAAAGGTATCTATAAAAATAACGTATAAACAGAACACACACACACACACATATATATATATATATATAGGCATGTGTGTGTGTGTGTGTGTGTGTGTGTGTGTGTGTGTGTGTGTGTGTGTATTTACATGAGTTGAAAATATATTGATGAAATCCCACAGAATAATTAAACAAGGAACAATTTTGGAAATACTGAATGTTTCTCTCTCCCTATTTCTTTCTCTCTCTCTCTCTCTCTCTCTCTCTCTCTCGTTCTCTGTCTGTCTGTTTGTCGCCCTCTGTGTCTCTGTCTCTCTCTCTCTCTCTCGCTATATATGTATATATATGTGTGCGTGTGTGTGTATGTATGTAAGGAGGCACGGTGGAATACTGAGAATAGCGGCTCGGATTGAGGAATGGGAGAGCCGAGTTCGAATTCCAGTCGAGTCCATTACGTTCCCTTGCGTGCTAATATCCTTGGGAAATGTATTAATCCTCTTCTTCTCCCTCCAGCTATGGGTTCTATAGCCTTGGATGGCAACTGGTCTAGGAGAAGACAAACTCTGAAATCAAATCCTACGGAGAGTTTTTTGAGCACCTGGTGGCACATAGGGGACCAGGTGTCTGCATTTGGCCCTTGAAAAAGTGCGGTTGGTTCTGCACAAAGCCTTCACCACTAAAATCAAATCATATATGCTGGTGTCTGGATGTCGGTTCCTAGGAACTGAGTTGCTTGACCATCATACGTCACACCATATATATATATATATATATATATATATATATATGTGTGTGTGTGTGTGTGTGTGTGTGTGTGTGTGTGTGTGTGTGTGTGTGTGTGTGTGTGTGTGTGTGTGTGTGTGTAGGCAGACTATTTTATTCAAGCAAGTTTGTCTAAATAATTTAGACGTATTATGTTTATTCATTTTAATTTTAAGCCTTTCATGCCCATTTTAACACCTAAAAATGGTCTTAGATGAGATGAGATTGAAAGTACTTGGAAAAATAAAAATTATTTGAAAGAAAATCTTGAAATTTTTCTTGAGCAATTTTCTACAACCACTGAGGAAATAATTCGTGGACTTGAAAGGATTAAAACTAAAATAAATAGTCTTAATAAGTCTGAATTATTTAACAAAACATACTTGTATATATATATATATATATATATATATATATATATATATATATATACAGATAGATAGATAGATAGATAGATAGATAGATAGATAGATGTGTGTGTGTGAGTGTAATGAATTTTCCCGTCTTGTAAAAAGTAAAGTTAGACGGGGGAGTCCATCATACATAAAATATGGAGTAATTCCCCTGTATATATATATATATATATATATATATATATATATATATATATATATATATATATATATATAGTTTCGTTACAGACGACTGACAAGGTACTGCGATTAAGCTTTTTATTTCATTTTTCTTCTTTTCATACAAGTGTTTAGTTTCAGTCTTCTTTAAATAAACTTAAATAAAAGAAGGATTACTACCATATATATATATATATATATATATATATATATAATCGGTGCCTTCTAGCAACATGGTACCTCAAATGTGTGTGTGTGCGAGAGAGAGAGTGAGAAAGAGAGTTTATACAACAGCATCCCAGGTTTGAATATTTTACATGTTATTGTCCTGTTTTTTACGATACAATTCCTTGCCGTCGATGTCGTTAAATGGACTTAATGTTTATCTTTTGTTTTCTATGTGTTTTTTCTTTTCGTATCTGTTATGGGTTTTTTTAGAATGTTTATTCTGTCTTGTACATTATTTGTTCTTTTAAATGTGACTGTGACAAGAACTAATAGCAATGAAGGCTTCGCCATTCGCGAAGCTGGAATTAGTTTTACGGAAACACTGGAATCGATATGACTTACGAAACATACCTTAGGATCGGTAAGTGGCAATGTTTAATAGAGTATCCAGCGAGGATCGAACCCTTGGTCAATAGGAAAAGAGGCCACTTTATTAATAACTTCTGATTATCCCTTAATCAGATATATCGTTATGTAAGTCATAAAGAAAGAAAGAAAGAAAGAAAAAAGAAAGAAAGAAAGAAAGAAAGAAAGAAAGAAAGAAAGAGTGCTTGTGTTAATAAAAGAGTGAGGGATACATCATAACAAAGCTAAAATTCATATTAATAATAAATAGACATTTTCCCTCACTGTGAGGAAAAATTATTATTGCATATTCACATACACTCACGCGTACACAAACACACACACACACACACACACGCACACACACATACACATATACACAAACAACCTAATACAATAACTAGCGCAAAAATTAAATTTTAACTTAGTTTCAGAACTGACGAAAACGAGAAAATCGGCAGTAGTCAATTGTTCATACCTCCTGACGAGTGGACGGAACGATTACAAATGAAAGATCAGTTTGCGAGACTCCGGTGTCGAGCTGCTCAATAAAACATCTATCAGCTAAGAGGCTATTTTTCTTTGCATTAATCCTATTTTTTATTAAATTATTATTCCACTATGAGAATTAGAATTAGTTTTTGGTTTAATATGTCAACATTTAAAGAGTTGTTGGAGATGGAAGTCTGGGAGTGATTCTGGGTACCAAATTAAGGCAAAACTATCTTATGGAAATTTGAATTTGTTTTTATGTCGACATTTAAACACTAATGAAATAAAATAAAAGACATCGAGCTATTTTTTGTGGATCAGTTCTAATATTTTCATATTACTAGGATCCACTTGGATTTTATCTTCAGTTATATACGTTGGATTACAGTTATCTGTTTCGTATTTCATCGACCTCGTGTTGTTATAGCATGAAACTTTGAATACCGGATTTTGACATTATTGCACGTTAATATATATATATATATATATATATATATATATATATATATATATATATATATATATACAGACAAAAGCAATTTACTCAGGACAAAGATGCAACTGGTGAGAACCAGAATAATTATTTCTCTACTATCGGTATTGAATTAATGCTGTGAACGTTAGAATTTCTATATTATTTTCGTTCTTCTTATATTCGGATATATATATATATATATATATATATATATATATATATATATAGATAGATAGATAGATAGATAGATAGATATATGTTCTCATTAAATTGGGATATATATATATATATGTGTGTGTATGTGTGTGTGTGTGTGTGTGTGTGTGTGTGTGTGTGTGTGTGTGTGTGTGTGTCGTCATGGTGTATTATATATATATAATCAAGTGAATAAATAGTGAGTAAATGTTCACATCCAAATACATGCATCCTTTGGTGTCATAAAAATAGTGCTCAATGCTAAATAACAGAGCTATTAAGTATATAATAATAAAAATACATAATACCCCTCGCCGAAAGTACACCTCGGAGTTCCATGCTTAATGCAATCTTCAGGTACTGATCGTTGTTTACAATTTGGGTGAATATTTCTGGATCTCGCGAGATCGTCGTGTTGTTTGGATGAATTATTAATGTTGTTCAATATTTAATTGCACTATAATCTAATTTTGAATTTTAAACATCGCATTAGGCATGAAATTCCAAGTCGTACTGTCGTCGTGGTGTTATATATATATATATATATATATATATATATATGATTTCTGTAGTTCACTGCTACCAGCAAGCAGAAATATTTCTTCTCCTGATGATAGCCATGTTGGCCGAAACTAGTCGAGGAATCTAAATGAAATAATAATAAAAAAAACGAAAGAATATTAATCTACAACCCACTGTATATATATATTGTATACTATATTTCTTCATATATATATATATATATAAATATATACATATATGTGTGTGTGTGTGTGTGTGTGTGTGTGTGTGTGTGTGTGTGTCTGTGTGTGAATAAAAAGAAAGAACAGTAAGCTATATAATCCGGTGTTCTTATAGATCTTTTTATTTTTACAAAATAGTGCTCAATGTAAATTTACAGAGCATTAATATTATAAATTAATTGATTTAAAATATGGTCTTTTCGCTACACAGTTCTAACCATGTTTCAAAAATGGAAGCTAAAAGCTTCAAATTTAATTTTGTAATTAAATTAAAGATATTAGTTCCATTTCATCCTCAAGATACACACAAATTTGAGAGGGAACAGATGTAGTAAAATTCCACTGTTCGGAGAATTTAATTTTTAAAAAAGTGCTCAATACATAGTAGAGCAATATATTATTATTATTTTATTTTAGATATTAGAAAAAAAAACATGTTTAAATCGCAACAAATGCTTTCGTGTTTCGGTATTACGTTGTGCCTCCTCAGGCGATGGTAAGTCACTGGTGCTGCCTCTTTTTCGGAAGATAAATGAGTAGGTGGGGGGGGTTCAGGAAACACGAAGTCAGAATTTTTTTTTTATTCTGAGCTTGTGTTTTCTAACCCGGCCACTATATCTTTCGAAAAGATGTAACACTTTGCTTTTGGAATTTTCTTAAAAATCATTTAATCACCAGTCACTTACCATCGCCTGAAGAGGCGCAACGTAGTGCTGAAACATGAAAGCTATTGTTTAGCGATTTCAACATGTTTTTGTCGTAATCTCTTATAATAAAAAAATTTAAAAAATAAAGAACAAATATATATATATATATATATATATATATATATATATATATATATATATATATTTGTTCTTCGTCGTAGCGATGGGTTAAGTATGGAGAAATGTTTATGGTGAGCCAAGGACGTATCTACGCTGACATTGTCGTCAGTACTTACGTATGTATCCACACACGTCCATGGAAGTTGGTGACGATAATAATTTCGATGTTGATAGCGACAATGCTGATACGGAATGGCGCGAGGACGGTGGTGCTCATGATTTCAGGAGTTGCTGTTATCAGTGTTGAAGATGATGTAGATGTAACAAAACAAAGAAAGAAAGAAAAAAGTAAGAAAGAAAGAAAGAAAGAAGAAAGAAAGAAAGAAAGAAAGAAAGAAAGAAAGAAAAAGAAAGAAAGAAAGAAAGAAAGGAAAAAGAAAGAAAGAAAGAAAGAAAGAAAGAAAGAAAGAAAGAAAAAGTAACAAGAAAGAAAGAAAGAAAGGAAAAAGAAAAAAGAAAGAAAGAAAGAAAGAAAGAAAGAAAGTAACCCTATTTGCACTGCCCTTCTTCATTGCCTGTCAAAAAAACAAAAGATGGAAAAAAATTCTTAAGAACGTCACATTCGGATTGAATTCACGTCTTTCTGCTTCTCTTTCTTTCTTACTCTCTCTTCACACACACACTCTTTCTGTTTCTCTCTCTTCACACACACACTCTTTCTGTTTCTCTCTCTTCACACACACACTCTTTCTGTTTCTCTCTCTTCACACACACACTCTTTCTGTTTCTCTCTCTTCACACACACTCCCGCTCTCTTTCTCTCTATTTGATTTTCTCTTTCTCTCTATGCCTCTCCTTTTTCTCTTTTTTCTTTTTTCCAATTGGTAGTGTGGCGAGGAAAAATATTTTTTTACCTTGTCTCATATTAGTTATATAGCTAAATTAAAACACGCGATTGAATCGATAAACTTTAAAGCCCTTTACCAATAATAATAATTAGAAAGACCTGTAAAAAATTTAACTGTTTTCCGATTTAAATTTTTTTATGAATCTTAATTCTTCATTTACCGATTTAATAAGCTCATGGCGAGTTCTACAATAATGAAATATCCGTAGAAATTCCCCTATCGCATCGTTAAATATTTAAGCTTAAAAATTTTAACAAAATATTTCAATAGCAATCATAAATATGAATGCTGGATTTTTATTTTAAGAATTTAGAGGATAGTCCATATTTTGATGGGGGTGGTATTGGGAGGGCATAAAAGAATTATCGTATCTTCTATCGTTCTTTTTCTTACTGAAACTAAGCAGCCTTTCTTATATGTCTTTTCTGTCTTTCCACATGATCAAAACGGAATAGTCTATAATTTTTAGGTGTTGGCAGGGCGTAAGAGAGTTATCGCTTCTTCTATCTTTCTTTCTTTCTTTTTCTCACTGAAACCAAGTAGTGTCTCTGATATGTCATTCCCGTCTTTCCAAAACGGAACAGTCCATATTTTTATTAGATATTGTTAGGGCATAATGAGAGACGATAACAATAATAATAATAATAATAATAATACATTGTTATTAGAGACCATAAACAAAAAAAAAGTACCTTCTTGTTGATATGGCAGTCCCTGCAGACTGCAATGTATCTTTGAAGATATTCAAAAATATGTCAAAATACAAGGACCTTGAAATCGAATTCTCAAAAATGTGGTGCATGGGAACATCAACAATCCCTGTTGTAGTTGAAGCCCTAGGATTGGTTGAAAAAGATTCCAGGAGACTAATTGAAGGGATTCCTGGAAGTCCATGCCTCAAAGAAAAAAATGTTCTCACAAGTACAGCCCACACTACGAAGGGCTTTAGCTATGTAATAGTTTTTTTGGTTTTTTTTTTTTTTTTGTCAGTGGAAAGTGTCATGATGCCATTTCTAAAACTTAGGTCCCTCGGCGGAACCCGGAAAGAAACGTGTAAACGCCAGAAATCAAAGGAAATAATAATAATAATAATAATAATAATAAAAGATCATCTTGTATCAGGTTGCACAATGTTAGAACCCACTGAAAATAAAACTCAGTATGATAGAGTGGGCGAATATCTGCACTGGAAAAAAAAGCAACTTTTACGGGAAGGAGACTGCAAGCAACTGGTATGAACATCACCCAAACCCGGTTACAGAGATAGAACCTGTAACAATTTTATGGGACTTTAAAATAAACACAGGCAGAACAATCAAAGCTAATCGTCCAGACATCGGGATCAATGACAGTCTCTACAGATTTTAATGTATCTTTGAAGATCTTTAAAAAAAAAAAACAATCAAAATACAAGGACCCTGAAGTGGAAATCTCAAAAATGTACCACATGAGGACATCAATAATTCAAGTTGTAGCTAGAGCACTCGGATTGATTGATAAAAGTTCAGATAAACTCATTGAAGGGATTCCTGGTAGCCCATGCCTTAAAGAAATAAAAACTATTGTATTCACAAGCACTGCTCACTCACTTAGGAAAAAGTGCGTAATCTCAGGGTTTTGTTTTTAGCGGGGGAGTTAGAAAAAATAATCCGTGAGTAATGACATGTAGCCATTTCTGACCTTAGGTCTCTGGTTTGAACCCGGAAGGAAATGTGTATACAACAGAAATCAAAGGAAATAATAATAATAATAAACGATAAGCATAACTCTTGTGGCTTCTGAACATAACTGATTGTTAGCATTTACATGTTTTTTCCTGGTAAATTATGTGCTACAATAAATATCCCGTCCAGTGTCATTGATTTGCATATGGCATCTCTGTTTATGGATGGGAGGAGTGGTGATAAAATTTTGGCCAGATATCGGGAGTGGGGCTCTTTTTAAGCTTGAAGGGTGAAGTAGCCAAAGCGACTTGCAAGCCACATTTAAATATTTGAGAATGGCAGAGTGGAGTGGGTTACCCGACCAGAAGGTATTTCTAAGTAGACCCCCAACCTGCAACGTTGTACTCTATACCATTATCACACTGGTTCTCAACATGGTGGTAATAATAATAATAATAATAATAATAACTGGGAGGACAAGGCGTTGCTTGGCAAATACCTAAAAAGAACAGATGAAACAGATGTGCTGCAACAGAAAATACATCAGTTGCTGAAGAGCAGCGCGTTGACAGAAAAGGCCTAATTATTGAAGCACGGGACCAAAGCCTCGCAAACAGATCCTATCACATCCACATAATCAAGGATGGAACTAATCCAAAATACAGGATCGGCAGAAAATATGATAAAAACTGTCTTCCATATTATCTCAGGATGTCCGGAACTAGCAAAAGTGATTATACCCACAGACATAACAGACATATGTGCACTGGAATATATGCAAGATGCACAAAATCGAAACCACTGAGATATGATACGAGCAGCAACTAAACACAGTTAATCAAAATAATGATGTAACTATCCTCTGGGACATGCGAATTCAAACTGACAGGGGAAATAACAACCAGCAGACCTGATATTATCATAAAAGACAAGAAATTCACCGGCACTACATTAATTCTTGATAATGACTGCGAAAGTTGAATGTACTTGAACAAAAACAACAAAATATGAACTTTGGACAGATTATCCGCAACTTCAAGCACAATACCGTATCAGAAATTTGGAAAATATAATAAAAAATTAAACAGACAAACTTTATCGATTCTTTTTAATCATATCCTTACTCTGTCTTAGACATTGAGTTCTACCTGGATCCTTCCTCTTGGAAAAATTTTTTTCTGAAAATATACATGTATGGGAATTTTTTAGATATATTTTTCATATGTATGTATATTTTCCACTAATATTATCTATCTATATATATATATATATATATTACATACAATAGGAATTTAAAATTACCTGATAGTTATGATCATTTCACCTTTCAAGTTAAGATTCCTTTGCAAGGGTTTTCAAACCGATCATGATAATACGATAAAATAAGATAAAATGGACCAAAGCAAATTTCAAAAACAGGCAGATGAAAAAATTTAAAATTTACTTTGGTTCATTTTATTTTATCTTATTAGTAGTACGTACCAGCCCTGCTCTTAGGATTGCCTCACGGTGAAGTTGAATAAGTCCATTGAGAAGACACGCCCCCCTTCCGAATTTTTTGTAGAGTTCATTATGTCCCTTAAAACTCACATGTCTCAACAATTCATAGAAACTTGCAAACACCCCCGCAGACCGCATACACACGGATAGCAATCGCCCACGCACAAAAAAAGTTCTAACCCGCCTAGACAGCCAGTCAGATGTAAAACACACCACATGTACAATAATGGATATATGCAATATAGGTGAACAATTCGACTAGAAAAATTGAAAATAAATACAATGTTTATAATTACAAATTAGAGACGTATTATAATAGATCATTTAATCTTAAATGAATCAACAATGCTTTGCAGTAACATCAGCTACAGACTTTTCTTGTTAAAATTTTGAATGATTTTAATACATTTAACATTAACGATAAAATCTTGTATCGTGTTTTTTTTTTTCTTTCGACACTTAGAATGGGCAAAGCAAATTCACGATTTTGGACGGAAAGAATGAGAACAGAATCTGCAATATACGTAAACAATTCGACTAGAAAAACTGAAAATAAATCCAATGTATCTAAATACAAATTAGAGACATGTCATAATAGATCATTCCATCTTAAATAAATCAACAATGCTTTGCAATCAACTTGAGAATTTTCTTGTTAAAAATGTTGAATAATTTTAACATATTAAACATTATGGCTAAAAAGTGAATTTTAAATAGTTTTTTTTGCAAGAATTAGCAAAGGCAAAACAAATTCACAGATTTGGACGAAAAAAACAAAGAACCCGTAATGACATCAAAATCTGCGAAAATCTTTTATCCTTTAATAATAGTCAATTGTGTTTAGTTTAATTTGTAACGTATATAAATGTAGGGTAGGAAAAAACAAATGTTGATAAGATAGCGAGGGTCGCAAAGCACTGCCCGGGGAGGGGGGGTCCCCAATCGGGTTCGGCGATAGTACGCATTATCAACATTTTCTTTTTTTTTCAAATGGAAAACGTAAAACTAAAGACGCAATGGAATAGTGAAAGGTGCCTTTCAAAAACCAAACAAAGTATTAAGAAACAGGAAAATTTCAATAGACTCAAAGAAAGAGTGCTGAACTGCTGTGTAATATCAACCCTCCTCTATGCCCGTGAATGCTGGATCTTTTCCTCACAGATGACGTGGAGATTTGAGGAAACAAAGATATGTTGCTACAGAAGGATAATGAGGATACCATGGACGGATCATATGAGCAAAAGTGAGTTTTTTGGGGGTATTTTTAATTTTTTTTTAATCTGAACAAAAAGGTCACTGCTCCCTAGAGTTCGAAATATTTGAAATTTCCAAGACACATAATGGGAAAAGTAGGTTTGGCGAATTTGACACTTACAGGGTACACTGAAGACAAGAGTGTTAAAAGAACAGTGCAAATAGTCTAACGAACTTGTGTAAATAGATAAAAGAACCTGGCCTAGGAAGGTATGTACGCGGAGAAACATTGCTTAGTGCTACAAAGAA